CACTGAGACCTAAAAGAAACTGTGGCCAGCTCTGCGGGGTCGGTTGGATGGATTTGCTGGCGTATGCTTCCTCGCATGGCGCTGGGCTGCACACAGCCTGTTCTCCCTGCCTTTCAGACTGTCTGTTCCCAGCTGACTCATCTGGCTTCAAATTTCCATCCCTCTCCTCGTCACCACATGCTTCTTGCACATCGCTTTTGACTTCTCTTAACGCTCTGATCTGTCGGCTGCCAAACGTTCTTCCCAGCTTAAAATTTCATCTCAACGTCCTTGCCCCCCGCCCACCCACCTCTGCCTGCTCTGTTCTTTCTTTTACCTGGTGACAGATGCTCCCCGTCCTCCGTGTGGTTGGCAGCCAGCCCCTCCCCAGCTCTCCCAGCAGGCTCCCTGGCAGCGAGAGATGAGGAAGGTATTCAGGCCCCCCCACCTTGGCGGTGTCCCACGTGCTTTTCTGCACAGCTGTTTTGAACCCTTGCCTGCGTTCGGCAGGTCAGCAAAGAGCAGGTCCCCGGAAGGCTGAACCCAAGCGCTCACGACAGATAGCAGCTCCAAATGCCACGTGCTGCAGGCTCCCAGGATTTCATTTCTAAGATCAGCTCGTGAGCGAGGGTCTGGCGTACTCGCAGGCGTGTTTCCTGCCTGGCGGGCTCCTGGAGCGCTTTTTTCAGTACTGCCGAAGAAGGCGGGAGCGAGGGATTACTTCAGTGGGTCTCCAAACTGGGCCGATTTGTCTTCACTGAGAGTTCTCTGAATTTACATGTCCAGAAATTAGTAATATCCGCCTTCGTAGCTGTATCTCAGAGTCTGAGACTCATGGGGGCAGGGCCCCCGCATAGGACTGAACTAGAGGGAGGTGCCAGAGGCATTCTGCAGCTGGGTGGGGGCAGTGCCCAGGGAATCGGGATGCCTTCCCGTGGTGGCCACCGCGCGTGAGCCCCAGCCCTGATAGGTGGCGCTTTGATTCATCCCACGGCGAGCAGGGAAGTCACAGTGCCCCAGCCCCCAGAGCCTCATCAGGGACACCGGTGGCTTCTTTCTAAGCTCAACGCTGAGCCAACCATAGTTGTTGTTTCAAGAATTATCTTGGGATTTCTTAAAAATAAAATCCCCCAGATAAGGCAAAACATTATTTTGGTTAGTCTTAATGAAAAGTAAAATTTTGAATAACTGAGTCCTTCAAACAATTTGAGTTTTGTATGCAGCAGGCTTTTGGGTGGAAGGCAGTTCACACACACACACACACACACACACAGCTGAGATCATTCTTTAGGGAACAGTGTGTGATACGTCCCAGAAGCAGCACAGTGCACCATCCAGTTTCAGGGCCGTAGTTTTGCCCTAAGCTGGAGATGCAGCCTCATGTTGGTGGGCTTTCTGATTGGACTGGACGCTCCTTGCGGGCAAGGGGCTGTGTTTTATTTCCTCTTGTGTTCCACACAGCATCTCACAGCAAGGCTTGCACATCATAAGGCAGCCATTTGGCCCTGGACTTTTAAAATGCTGTGTGTGTTCATTAGTGTCAGTAATACAGTTGGTCTCCAACCGTTTTCTTCTGTTTCCCACTCCACGTTTGTGTCTATTCTCTCAGTCCCTCACTAGTGGCGTGAACTGGGGCAGTTCACTCATTTCCAGGGATTTGTAAGGATCAGTGACTGAAGTGGCCGCCGCTGTTGGTATTGCTTACTTGCCTTGAAAGCTTCCTGGCTTGCGGCTGATCCTTCCCTAGATCGAGCTCCCGTTTCCTACCAATGCGTTTCCATTTGGAAGGCTCACTCCGTGTACCGAGGGGGCACTGTTTGCTCTGAATCTTGAAGGATGAGCACGTGCTTAAAAGACAGAAATGTTGGAAAAGGCGTTTCACAAAGAGGAAGCAGCATGTGTAAAGACCAGGGGCACAGAGGCAAGTGGCGGTGGCGGTGGCGGTGGGGGTGGGGGTTGAGGACCGCAGCTCCAGTGGGGGACGTGTGTGACCCCTCAGTGGCTGGGCATGTAGCCAGTGGCATATCACGAAAGGCATCACGCAGGTAACATGTAGGTTTCTGTCAACACCAAGTTGGTGTTTTGGAGTCAAGTTGGTATTTTGGCAAGATCTTTCTATTTGTCATTAACTTTCTATAAGTTTTCCATGAGTCTCTGAACAAAAATATTTCTTTTGGAAAAATTGGTTTATGGATTTTGAAGCAGGTGTAAGGGGCGAGTACCCAACACTCACTGAGCCTGTGACTTGTGACTGTGCTTGGAGGCATAGCTGACTGGAGTCAGGGCTGGACCTGGCCATGCGGCCAGCGCACGGCCTCGCCTGGCGGGCGCCCCCCCGCCATCAGGATGACAGTGACACGTAGTGAAGCGTTTCCGACGCTGCCAGTTTGTCCCAGGCTTTTCCCTCCCTTGTTTCGTTGCCTCAGGGTTCCTCAGCAGATTGAATTGACAGCATCTTTGGACATCAGCTGCAGCCAGCTAGCACTCATTGTTTGAGTGCTGTTTGTTGCTGTGCTAATGTGCCACACGCCCAGCTGTGCTAAAACATTTCCCATTCTGGGGAAATGGTGGAAAAGCCACGCCCCCTTTTCCTGCTTTTCCTGGGATACCCAGGGAGAGTCAGAGCCAGGCCGCCACCTGCCCGTGATGTGTGCCCTCTGCCTCCTGTCCTCTGTCTGCCCGTCCATCATTTGTGCTCAGCAGTTCTGCATTGCTTTCCCTGTCGGGCCCCCTTAGATCCAGCCACACCTTTTCAGCTCCGTATCCTGAGTCAAGTGTTTGAAAGCTGTTATTTCATGATAATTAGAAGTTCTTTTTCCAGCCGAAAAGCCTTGCACAGAGCTCTTCCCCCCCACGCTGAGGCTTGGGGATGCACTCTGGCGCCCTGTCCTTGGGTACAGCCGCAGGAGTCCTGCCTCATTGCCGTTAGAGCCACGCTGCTGCCTGCTGGCAGGAACCCTTCCTCCTGCCCCCACGGCCCTCCATGGGGCAGGCCAGCTCTGAGCTCCCCACAGCCAAAGTTGCTTGGCAGCCAGCCCTCATCCAAGAGTCTCTGGGCCTCTGAACAGGTGTCCACTGAACGCGGACTGATGACCATTCAACTGCTCCTCCTCCTTCCTCCGTGTCTCATCTCTCAGCTGACCCGGGATCTGGTGGGAAAGTGCCCCCACCCCGGTCAGGCCTGCTGTAGCCTTCGGCTGCAGCTGTGGCTCCGTGTGGCTGGTCCTGGGAAGGCTTCAGGAGTTTGAGGGCAGAAGCCAAGCCCTGTTCTCACACCTGGCCTTGCTCTGTGCCCACCTGCTTGGAAATTGGGGACCATACCACTCCTATTACCTGGCCTGTCACCCATCATTGCAGGTTTCTGAAAACCAGGGCTGGGGAGGCTACAGCCCTGACCCTGCGGGAGCCACCAGCATACCCTTGGCTTCTGTTGTTCTGTGTGGAGGCCATGGTTGGCGCTAGCCCACTGCTGAGCTCGGCGGCCATGGCTTAGGACCTGTCATGCCGTCTGTCACAGGGGAAAAACACTGTGGTCTGCTAGGTGCTTTTGAATGGGGGCGTCACCCCCTGCACAGTTGAGAAATTCTGAATGCTACCCTAAATCACGACAGTTACCTTTTCCTTATCTTCCACGGCTCACGGAGAAAGTAACCAGCAAGCAATGCTTATTAAGGTCAACTCAACACAACTGGACAACTGGAGGTACTGGGGGAGTGAGGCCAGAGAGGGAGCGCGAGGGAATGTATGGCAGGAAGTCACATCCGGAGAAGCTGGAGGTTGCTGGGGTAAAGCCCCGGCCCCTGCGTGACCAACACCACCCCCCAGGAGGGCTGGGTAGGCACATGACATGGACAGCATTTGTCAAGGGCCAAACACAAGGCCCTTTGATAAACGGGAGCTCCTCCCTCTCTTCTTGTCTTTCTTGGCCACAAACTCCGGCGCAGGTGGTCCCTACTGAGCAGAGGCTGAAAGTGGTAGCAGTGGAAGACTTCTCTGGTGAGGTGAGGTGAGGCGAGCTTTAGCTGCACTGGGGAAGCAGTACAGGGATCAGGTGAGTAGAGATTAAGATTGGGACACGGCGCAGATCGCCGTCGAGCTGTGAAAGGAGCGGCCGTTGTCCAGCGCCTTATGTTTGTAGGAGTGAAGGGTCCAGCGGGGTGCACAGCACGGAATGGGGTGGGGAGATCGAGAGCGAGGTGGAGGTCCCGACTTTTGTGTTGTGAGTGGTAAGGCATCATGAGCGTTTCTCAAGCTGGCAATGAGAACGGTTTCTGGAGACGTCGATCAGGAGCTTTCTGGGAGCTGGGAAGTCGGAGGACAGGGCTGAATCTAGGGGGGTGGTGACGAGTCCGCGGACCCAGACAGCTGACGTCGGCAGAGGGGCCAGGTGGGCTCTGGGAATGGGCCACAAAGGAAAGAGGGTTCTAAGCTTAGCCCTCAGATGGTCTGCGTGGAGGGTCACAAAAGTAGGGATGGTGATGGTGGAGGGAGTAGGGGAGTCCTAGGCCTTCCCTGGCAGGGCTGGGGCGGCTCGGAGGGGAGGCCTGAGCCAGCGGCCCTCTCTTCATGTGCCTTGAATGCAACTTTCTGGAGCGGAGGAGGTGCTGAGCGCCATCGCGGAAGCTGACCCGTGTGTGTTTAGGTCAGCTGAGTCTTGTTCCCCATGTGAGCGTGTCAGTAAGGTTCACTTTTAATGAATTTTTCAAAATCTCACAAATAAATTGGTGTTGTCCTGAAAAGCATTCTCTTTGTAAAACCCCTGTGTTCGGGTACAGCGGGCCCCTCCGAGGCCTTAGGCCTGAGCACAAGGGCCCTGTTGTTCCGCGTCTGCCTCAGCAGTGAGACCGCACGGCCTCACCTTGAGCTGGGGCCCCGCAGACCCTGCTTCCCTGGGAGCGGGCGCCGGACGCCCCCCTCCTAGCCGAGTAGGGACACCCCCACCCCGGGCCTGAGCCCTGAGCCCACCCCTTTGTCCTGGTGGGGCTGCGACTCTGGCCTGAGCTGTTTTCTGCTCTCCACAGACTGCTGTTCTCCAAAGTGAAGTTGGAGTCGCTCTGCCGGGGCCCGGATGAGGCGCTCCTCACCTGTAAGCACATGTTACAAATATGGAAATCCTGCTACAACCTCACCAACCCCAGGTAAGAGGCCGGCTGTGCCTGTTTTGCGTGATTTTTGCATGGGCCCCTGCCTGTCAGGGCCGCCTCTGCTTGCCATTTGCAGGTGCTGACTCTGTCACCCCTGTGCACCCCCAGGTCCCCACGAGGGGCAGAGCGTGGAGCTTCACACTCCACTTATGGGAGGCTCAGAAGCAGCCACTGGAGCCCCCGGTGGTGCCATGGGGACCAACGAGACCCAACTCTGATGTCTCTCTGCTGGCCGTTTGCCTGCCTCCTTTACAAGCCAGCACTTGTTCTGTGACTGTGCAGATGGCGCACAGGTTCCTGCGATCATGTTAAAGACCTGGGTAGTTGGAGCAAAGGGTTTTCTGCAATCATGTTAAAGACCTGGGTAGGCACCGTGCTGCATCCTACTAAGAAGAGAGACGAGATGGCCATTACCAGGAAAAAGTGTCATTGTCAAAAGGTTAAAAATCATGACTCAGACAGATCAAATCAGATTTTACTTAGCTCACTTCCTAAGGGGGGGCCAGCAAAATGTTAAGACTTGATCAGAGCATTTGGAAAACAGGCGTGTGTAGGCAGGAACACGGAAATGGTTCGGCAGGTGGGTGTCAAAACAGTGTCCTATGCGGCAGTGGAATGCATAGCTTGGGGTCATTGCTTCTGGGCGGCAGAAATGAATTGCATGCCTACCCAGCAGAATTCATGTTAGCTTCTGCCCTTACAGAGCCGTGCCATCACCAAGCCAGCAGGGAGGCAGTCAGGGGGGACCCACTCTGGGCTCCCACAACGCGGGGAAGGCAGGCTGGCAGAGGCCAGTACCCCCGACACACCAGAACCTCTTTGCCCGCTTTCAAGTCCTGGCCGGTTTTTCCTGATGGAAGCTAAGGTGGCGCGTGTGCCTCCTGTGAAGGCAGTGAGTTGTGAGAGGGAGCTAAGGAGCCCAGGGGGCTCTCAGGTGTGATCGGGGATCAGCCAGCTGGGGGTTCCGACAGCCCACCCTAGGCTCCTGAGAGTCTAGAGCCTACAGATGTGTCACTCAGTGGTAAATGGTCCTAAGGGCACAGCCTGCCCAGGAAGAGGCGGGCAAGTGCGCTGTGGGGGCTGGGGCGCGGGAATGCAGGCTGGGCCCCTGTGAAGTGACACTGAGCAGACCTGGGACCCCTGTGGGCCGTGCAGCTGGAAGGGAGGGAGTGAGCCTGGAAGAAGCCAGTCCACACCCGGCAGGGAGCCACACACAGGACCCCTTGCAGCATTTCGTTGGGGGACCCCCTTGGGTGCAGGGTGCTCCCCTTCCCCTAGGTGAAAAGTAACCATGAGACCTTTCAAGGGTTTCTTCTAAGAGTCAGTATCATTTAAATGAAAAGACAAGATTCCACCCTTTTCTAAAAGTACACACAAAAACCAGAAAGTGCCTGTATTCCCTTCCCCCCAGCCCTGAGGCCCCCCGTGCTGGCCTGTCAAGTGCGCCGGGACAGGGGTCCTCCTTCCTCCCAGCCTCAAGGTGGGGCCCATTCCTCTGCCTGTCCCCCCTTCAGAGAACAGAAACCCATCAGCGCCGCGGCTGCTGCCAGCTCTCGCTCCGCTCTCCACACCTCTCCCACCTCCCCACGTTCCCTCCCACTTAGCAACCAAGAATATTGAATGTGAGGAGAAAAAAATAGCAGAATTGGGAAGCTTTTTAAAAATACCTAACCAAATGCCTGGGCTGTCGGTCCTTCCTCCGTTTCCTGAAGGAGCTTTCAGGGCCAGCACCGGCAGGAACCCGGCCCCAGGCCCTGGGGGAGGTGGGACGGAGGTGCCCCCCAGCCAGGGGCAGTGATGGAGCAGCACCTTGGTAAGGAGCTGCCTGGTGGTCTCTGTAAACTGTATTTTCTCTGGGATATAAATAAATGTTTCCCCCACCGCCCTTACCATTGTACAAATTTAGACATCCCCTCCTGTCTGCTGGGGTAAGCAGTGACCCTGGCGACAGAATACAGCCTCAAGGAGGAAGGGCGGTGGGCTCAGAGGCTCCAGGTGGGGGCGTCTGTGGGTGCCACACCTGCAGCGTACTCTCAGGCCACACCGGGCTCTAGAAGAGGATGGAATGGCAGGAACAAGCGTCACGCCCAACAATAAAGCAAAAAAGGAACAGAACGCATTTTGACAGGAGGCGGTTGGTTTCTACCCGGATTAGTCCCCTGCCAACTTCCTGGCTCCGGGTGCCCTTTTTCTGAGCACGCTCGGTTGTGGTGGGACCTTTGCTCCACCTGCCAGCATCTCCCAGTCTCCCCCACCCCCTTCCCAATCCGTCCTCATCTGCATAGGCCTCCAGGGCAGGAAGACAGCAAGGCCAGAGGCCGGGAGGAAGTCGTGGGCAGCACCAGGCAGCTGGTGACCAGACTGAGGTCAGCCCCTAGCTGCAGTGTCCCCGGCAGCTGATTCCCTCGTCTTTATTTCTGCTTGAAGGAAAAACCAGGCTGTGAGCTGGTGGCTGAGCTGAGCCTTGGGAGGCTTGCGGCTGGCGTTCCACCTGCACTTGGAGAAGGCTGGCCTTGCTGTGAGCAGAGCGGTGGGCGGCGCTCTCTAGAGTGCGCATTTGGCGAGGTGTTTGTCATTTCAGAAGCCTGGATTGTATTTCCCTAGGTCTGCAGTCTTGCTCGCACTGAGGACAGAGATCTGCCTCGTGTGAGAAGCAGCAGGCTCCCTCCGTTCTTGCGCCACTCAGGACAGTGTGAGCTCCCACCAGAGCCTCCCCAGCAGTCCCCTGGGCTGCAGCGTCTCGGCAAGGCACGCTAACAGCCACGCTGATCGAAAGTTCCCCGTGCCAGCCTGTCCTCGGCCATCTGAGCGTGACCTCCGGTCCCGGGCAAGGGAGCCACTGCTCTTTCCATTTTGTAGAAAGGGAAAGTGAAGCCAGAGGCGGCTAAATCACTCGCCTGAGTTTTCCCAGTGAAATATGTAAAGGAGCAGTGATTCAAGCCCAGTTCTGTCTCACATCAAAGCTTCTTCCGTGACAGCACGGGGCTCTCTCCCGCCGACGGCCAGGTTCTTTGCCGTCCTTTTTGTTTTTTATTTTTAACCATGTCTCTCCCCCTCTTGTCACTGCTACTTGAACCATCCCCATAATCAGCCACAGGTTGTTGACGTGACCAACTGACGGGGAGAAGGTTTCTTCTTTCTAAGTCCTATTTTAATCACTCACCAGCACATTGCATTGAAAGTTCACTCAGCACACGCACACGCACACGCACACTTCCTCTGCTCTAAGCTCAGTTGGAAGCTGGAGACCCCATTTCATACTAACAGGCACCAGTGTTTTCGTGGCGCGTCTCTTTATAAAGCATGTTCTCATTTCTTCTCAAAAGTGTCTCCACATTACTGGCAAATGTCATGTTATACCCATTTTTCTGATAAGAAAATTGAGGCTTGGAGCTATTAGGAACCTCCATTGCTTTTTTTTTTTCTTTAAATTCATGAGGCAGAGAGGCAGACAAAAAGAGCTCCCATCAGCTCCAGTGCCTGGGAGAAAGGGAGTGGTAAAGGTGAGAGACCAGAAGCCAGCTAGGAGCCAGGGACTCAGTCTGGGTCTCCCAGGTGGGTGGCAGAGACCCAGCTACTTGAGCTATCACCTGCTGCCTCCCAGGACCTGCAGTGGCCGGAGACCAGAGTGGAGAACAGGACCGGGATCCACCCAGGGCACTCCAGTGTGGGATCCAGGCATCCGCATCAGCATCTGAACTGCTAGGCTGGGCGTCTGCCTCACCTTGCTCCTTACAAACCAGGCCGGGGAGGCCCGGAGAGAAGCAGGAGTGCTTGTCCCACCTGCCCGCTCTGGTTCCCACCCAGGGCCCCTCTGAGCCGACGCTCGGTGTGTGCCATTGTTCCAACATTCCCGGAGCTGGGAAGGGGCAGAGCTGTGACCAGAACTCGGGTTCTGGCTCTAGTTGACCACTGCCTGCTGCCTCTTCTCAACCTCGGTGTGGCTCTAGAAGACGGGATTTCCAAGGGAAGCCTCCCATTTCCAGGGCAGCTTCCACCTTCGTTATCGTTTGCTCCGAGTCTTCTGCTCTCATAGGCCACAGAGTTCCCAGGTGTGGACACTTGCACACGTCTGGACCTGCAGCATCTGGACCATGGATCAGGGTCTTTCCAGTGTCCTCCTCCCAACCCCTCTGCTAGCACCCTGCCCGGGAATGGTTTTCTCCCTTCCTGCCCTCCGCCAAGCAGTGCTCCTGGCAGACAGAGGAGAGGTGAGGGAATGGGTGTCCCAGAGCAGAAAGGGAGGCAACCTTAAAACTCACACGAGGGAGGCCGGCTGGGGGGAAGAGTTACAGAGACTCAGGCTGGCCCAGGCTGGCCCAGGCTGGCCCCTGGCCCTCCTGCCACACTCCGTGGGTTAGACCCTGCACCATGAATGTGAAGAAGTAACAATTGCTTGAAGCATCCAGAAAAGTTCTCAATCAGTCATAAACCCTGATTATTTTTAGAGAGAAAGCATTCAGTGTGGAAACAAAGCCTATCCATTCTGAGTGGTTCATTGTTGCTTGTGCACTGTTTCCAGAAGGAGGGGAGAAGACAAACTAATGAACGTAACCCAGGGTAGCGTCTCAGCCAGCGGAGGGCAAATAGATCCTACGTCGCTGTAAGTGGGTGAGGCTCACGCATTAAGAGCATTGGTTTAGGCCGGCGCCGTGGCTCACTAGGCTAATCCTCCACCTAGCAGCGCTGGCACACCGGGTTCTAGTCCTGGTCCAGGCGCCAGATTCTGTCCCGGTTGCCCCTCTTCCAGGCCAGCTCTCTGCTTTGGCCCGGGAGTGCAGTGGAGGATGGGCCAAGTGCTTGGGCCCTGCACCCCATGGGAGACCAGGAGAAGCACCTGGCTCCTGCCTTCTTATCAGCACGGTGCGCCGGCTGCAGCGCGCCAGTCGTGGCAGCCATTGGAAGGTGAACCAACGGCTAAGGAAGACCTTTCTCTCTGTCTCTCTCTCTCACTGTCCACTCTGCCTGTCAAAAAAAAAAAAAGAGCATTGGTTTAGTTGGGGTTTGTTTTGTTATTATTTATTTGAAAGGCAAAGTGACAAAAAGAGAGGGAGAGACCGAGAGAAATATCTTCTGTCTGCTGATTCACTCCTCAAATGGCCACAACAGCTGAGGCCTGGCAAACCAGGCATGAGGTGCCAGGAGCCAGGAACTCCATCCTGATCCCCCTCCCAGAGGGAGGGTCCCGAGTACTTGGGCCATCCTCCAGCCTCTTCCCAGATGCGTTAGCAGGAGGATGGACTGGAAGTAGAATATGCAGGATCCCAAGTGGTGGCTTCGCCTGCTGTGCCGCAACGCCGGTCCCAGGGTTTCCGACCTTTGGAGTAGATGGTCCTTAATTCACCCCCCACACCTCCTACAGTTGTGTCACACGGCCAGGAGTCAGCCAGCCATGGGTTGTTGGGGCTGTACTGACAGAGACCCCTGCAGTGGCCAGGAGTTGTGACTCTTCACAACACTCCATCTGCAGACAGTCCTAATCCTCAGAGGGCCGAGGCAGCAACAGAGGCACAGGGAAAGTGGCCTTTGCCCAAGTGTCCCACTTGTTAGTGACAGGTTAGGATGAGAGACCAGAGGCCCACCAGGCTTCCAGGACCCTGGTTTCTGGGTCCTTCCCAAAGCCTCACGCACGGCGGCCACGCCTGTGCCCTGAAACCGGATGTGGCGGGCAGCCTGGCTCTGTCCTCCAGATCTTCCTCTGCAAAGCCACTGCTCGTTGTACACCCCGTGATTCACGGCGCTGAAGGTGTCACTGTGCTGCCAGGCAGAGCCCGCGCAAGACTCCCAGGTGGTGAACCATGGCAGTATTCAGATAATTAACTCTTGGTAACAACCACAGTGAAGAGGCTGCACGGACAGGCCGAGGCTCGAGAGCGTCCGTTATCCTGACTGATGAAAATGTGCGTGTACTTGAATGGTTTTTCCTGCTCAGAGACACTTACTGTTTCTCAGTAGTGGAAATAATTGCTAAAGCAGCCCCCAGAAGCACGTGTGTGGGGTGACGTCACAAGCGTAGGCTGACAAGGCCTCTGTGCCGAAGGAGGCCCGAGTTTCCCGAGGTTCCTCCAACCGCCTTGCTGGAGTGGAGATGGCAGCCATGCTGAGTTCCGTGCCAGATCTTGTTTGTACCCCTTTCAAGCAGCAGCTGCAAGGAGGAAGGAAATGGGGTACTTTTATTGTAAAACCTGAACTTCTTCACAACACGAAAAATCACTTGTAGCACCCCCCTCCCCCCAGGACTCAGAGAAACGCATTAAAGACTCCAACATCCAGGAACGAGTGGGGATCGTTTTAGAGCTGCTATGGCAGAATGTCATAATAGAAGGGGGAAAAGCAAGAGTTAAAAAAAAAGAGCAAGAATAAAAAAGGAAGTCTGCCCGCCTGTTTCCTTCCCAGGGAGGCCTGATGTGGTCTCTGTGTGGCATTGCCAAGTGGATGGTGCCAAGCATGGCAGGGAGGCGCAGGCTGGAGAGGGGGCCTCCGGGAAGGTGGGCCGTGCAGGAAGCCAGTGGCAGTGACGGTCTGGGGCTGGCACCCAAGTCTGCTCTGTTCTCTCCAAGTCCCTCCATGTCCCCTCGGGCCAGCTTCTCCAGCTGGGGAACACCAGACAGGATGGTGGCTCCCGTGCCGCCCTGTACTACACCTCCCTCAACCATGAAATGGAGTAACGTGCCAAAGGCTGGCTCTGGGGACCCAAACGAGGTTGTCACTGTGATGGCCCATTTCAAAATAGGGGCCTTAGAACCATCTGGAAAGCGTTGAAAAATGCAGCCTGCCCCAGCAACGCTGGTGGATGCAATGTGAAGCAGGCTGCCCGCCTGGGTGACTGGCAGAGGCTGCCTCACAGACAGCCTGGAGGACTGTCGGGGCTCCCTGGGTTCTAAGCCTTCCCCAACACAGAAAGCCAGCCCATGAGAACCTGGCTTCAAGTTTTCATCCTTGTATCTTAAGACTGGGGCAAGGGCCTGTGAGTGCGGCATGGCGGAAGGGACGTTGGTGATGTGGGCAGGAAGCAGGACGCCTCCTGAGCAGGACAGGAGGAGAGGCACTGAGGGCCGTCCCAGGGCGCGTGCCCTGCACTGGGGGAGCTGCTCTGCTGCCTCTCCGTCCCTCCCTCCCTGCCTGCCCGGGGTCTGACCGGAGCTGTGTTTTGCAGTGATTCGGGACGAGGGAGCAGCCTCTTGGATCGGACCATCGCAGACAGACGGCAGCTGAACACCATCACTTTGCCAGACTTCAGCGATCCCGAGACAGGTGAGAATCCGAGGCACAGGGCCAGGTGGTGACCAGCAGAGTGCCACGGGGCTGCCAGGCTCGGGGCTGGGAGAGTTCCTTATGCCGCTAGGTTAGACGCTCGGTCGAGGTGCGCTTTCTGCAGTCTCTTTCTGCAGTGGGGGAAGTGATACTGTTTGCCCCACACGGCTCTCTGAAATCTGTTCTCCCCTGGCCCTGAGAGCCTAGAGATTCAAGCGAAGATCAGACGGTTCCGTCCCCGTCAGGTTCCCTTCAGCTTTTCCGTGTCTCCTCCACTCTAAGTTTCGGTTTCTAATCAAGGTTTCAATTTCTAATCAGCTGCATGTGAACACACACACACACACACACACACGCACACACGCCAAGCAGGAAAACCCCATAGGGTGGCGGCAGGCTCTGCGCTGCCAGTTCTACTGTCCCCACGTTGAAGCCCAGGCACCTGCTGACTCCGAGCGAACATTCACCATGCCGGCTGCTAGCAACGACCCGCGGGACTCGGCAGACCCACACGCCACGTTGAACTTCACTCTGAGTCTTAAAGATAACTCTAGAGCCTCCTGGGACGCCTGCTCTTGTTGCTCGCTCTCCTCCCTCAGGAGACCCTGTAGGTTGACGGGCTGGCCGGCTTCATGAAAAGAGCCCCAACCCCAACGTCCTTTTCCAATCCCGAGCCACGTGCTGTCCTCTGACAGAGCCCTTCCAAGGCAAGCTGAGAGCAGCCCTGAGCCAGGCCTCACCTGCACCTGTGCCCTGGACACCTGTCCCCAGGTGGGAAGGGAGGACTCAGCCCAGCTGCCCTCACACCTGCCCACCTAGCACCCTTGCATTCCTGCACTAGGCCCCCTTGCACCAAATTCAAAGTCCACTTGAGAAATCTGATCCAAGGGCCCCAGGGCCGCTAAGTCAAGCAATTGTTGGATATTAGAACTGGAGCAAATGGTCAGTTAGAGCAGTTTCACCTGGCTGGCAGCCATTGCTCTAAATGCAGAGTGACCAAATCACCTTACCCCCAGAGGCCTGAGCCCTGGATTGGTCAGCAGGCACTGGTGGGCTTAGCCTGCAGACGAGGCAGAGCCCTGGCTGGTGCGGCACAGTGAAACTGCCTCGGGGGCCCAGTCCTGAGAGAGGGCCCTGCCGGGAACGGAGGGTCGGGCTGCTGGCACCGGGCACTGCAAGGTGAGGCCAGCGCGGGGAGAAGAGCAGGAGGTGAACCGCGTTCTGGCCCGGGCAGGGATTTGCGCTGATCCAGAACGGTTGCCGCAGCTGCCCCGCCGCCTCCTCACGCCCTGTGTGGACAGGTGTGCTGAGTCCTGACCCCCTTTCCTTCCAGCTGGCCCGGCATTAATTTCCCTAGAGGTCTCTCCCTCCATCACATGGCAAACAGCAAGTGGCAAAAAATAAAGGAGGCCCTTGCTATTCTGTGGCCCCTTGGAACATTTTTCCTGGCACCCCCAGGAGCCGTGCAGGCCAGGTGTGACTGGGTTCTGCCCAGCCCTCCCCCCCCTCTTTGCCCACTGGCATAGAGGCAGCCATGCTCTGGGGAGATGGGAGAGGTGCCCACGCACTCCCCCAGGGAGTCTGGCCTGCTGGTTCCTGTGCCCTTCATGAACAACAGGGGAAAGCCACAGCCTTGCAGGCCCGGCCAGGCCATTTGCTGTTACTGTAGAACACACAGGAATCCTCCCGATGCCTTCCACCGGCCTCGCTCCCAGGGCTGTGAACGGGGCAGGGAGACAGACGACGAAGGCCGAGTTCTAGGCCTTCCTGACTGCAGGTGATTTGTAAACGAGGGTGGAACGTGCTGAAATGGCTGTGTAAGTCAGAGACTTGAAAAGTAGGCAGGCCTGCCCTAGACGGCGCAGTTTTGTGTAACCGAGGGCGGCGCCTCTCTCACTCACACAGCTACGTGGACGGCTGCCTATGAGCCACCCACGGAGTTTATTTCCCTCATCTTGATTTCTTTGCAAGAGGAAGTACATTTATGTAATTTACCAGCCGAGACTCTTAACTTCAGACGGGGCCCTAGAGAAGTTGGGCTCCCGTCACGGACCCTCCGTCCGGACGGACCCTCCGTCCTGACGTTCCCTGGAGGTGACCATGCTCGTTGGCTTTCTGTTCCCTGTCCCCGGTCTTCGCAGCATTTGGCATTCTCCCTGCCCCTTCCGTAAGCAGGCACACGTGACAGACGCTGTCCAGCACCAGACCCCGCTCACTGAGGGTGCCTCCCCATCTGTCCCTGGAGAATGTTCCATGACCCCCATATTGCACACTCCAGGTTCCTTCCCATCCGGCGAGGTCTCAGCCACTTTCCTCTCCTTTGTCATGCTTCCAGCTCACGTGGTACCGAAGGGCAGTGGCTAATTTTGAATATCCAACACTGCTCATTCCGAAAAGCAACTGAGCTGTAGAGACCAGAACAGGAACCTTCTCCAAGGTCAGCCTGGTCCTGAATCAAACACAAGTGACCTGAGATTGGAGTCCGTCTGGGAGACCCCAGCCCTGGCAGGGGCAGCGTGTCCATAGCCCTGGTCCAGGCCACGCCCCGTGTTTCACTGCATTTCTAAATCCCCTCCACAGGGCACCGGCATCTGAGGGCAAAGCCAGACAGTGTCAGCATCAGGAAGGGTCATGGCCAAAGCGAGGTGAAATCCACTCTCATGTTCCTGCCAGCTCTGGGCCCCTGGGCCCAGAATCCCCTGTTGTGTGGACCCCTTTGTGAGGCCACAGGCCCCCTGGGAGCAGTTCTGGGTTTCCCCAGAACTAAGTTTATTTCCTCTTATTTGTTATTTCTGGAGAATTTTCACACATGCCAGAATAAAGGGGCTCACGCGGTAAATTCCTGCTACCCGGCCACACTCCAACAAGCAGCGCCCTGTTCTGTCCTGCTCTCCTGTCGTGTGACTTGGCTTTTGCAGGATATTTTACTGCAAATCCAAGACATCACGTTCTGCTTGTTAAAGTTTCAGGGTCTGTGTCTAATAGATAAGGATTTCTTTTAAGACTTACTTTATTACGAATTTTTAGATTGTACCATTATCATGCACCACGAGGTCCACAGCTCAGGTCCCATGTTCCCGACTCTGGAAGAGGCTGACTAACTGGAATATGGCTTCCCACCTCTGAAGCTGTCCCCATGCAGACCTGTGCAGTGACACGAAGCAGCAGCCACGTCCGCAGCTTGGGACCCGCCAAGTCCGCTGCGGCCAGCAGAGTGGGATTCTGCTTCATTAATTAGACGGATGTGTCACGCTGAAAAAGCCCCCTTTGCTGAGCATGATTTCCCTTCTGATGTCACCTCTGGCTTCACTTCCCACCCCCACCTCTGCCATTCTCAAAGCCCCAGCCGGTGAGAAAGAGGAATCCAGTGGAGTGACAGTCTACTTTGAAGCTGTGAGTCATTGTCTTTGATTTGGAATAAGTTAGTAGTTCCTTAAATAGAGGATGAAAAAAATTTTTTTCTTCCTTTTGCCTTCAAAACAGGATGTAGGGTAAGGGGATTTGTCTTTAGTCATTGGTAGGTATTACCGGACAGCCACCAAGAGCAGGGCAGTTGTTCTCACTTGCAAGGTTGACCCATTGTATTTGGGAAGGGGTCTCACCGGAGCTGTGGTGGTCTTCACTGTTGCCAGGTGTGCAGGGGACAGCACCAGCTTCCTTTACAAAGTACCCAGCCAGCACCCCCAGTGTAGACCCCTGGGAAAGCCTAGCACCCCATCACTCTCACTGCACCTTGGATCACCTTGGTTCATATGAGTGCTTCTCACAAAAAACAAATCCATGGAAATTCACATCCTAACGCTCTCCAGCTAAAAGGCAAATAGTGTTCTCTAGAATGTTCTGGGTATTGTAGGTTAAGGATACATTACTTCAGTGGATCACCCTGCTGAATCTGTGCCCAGGTGAATCTGAGTTATTTTTATTCCATGGTGTTATTGCAGAACAGTTAAATAACCAGCAGAAAAACAAATTTGTTTTCTTCGAAAAGCACTTGTATTTTCATGTAGAAGAATGATTGTGTATTACATGACCTCATTTTCTTTGCAGCTTTATGTGAGTATATTAAAAGCTCATTGATTTTTTTTTCTTTGTTTCTAAAGGTTTTTTTTTTTTTTGCTTTTACCTTTTTTTTCTCTCTCTCTTGCTTTTTTAGTGTCAGATTCCTCCTCCTCCTCCTCTTCTCTCTCAAGAACCGAGTCTTCCCTCCACCTGTTTGTGTCTTCTCATCTTCATTCTCATCCCAAACCCGACACCTTTGTGTGGCCCCCTGCAGCTCATGCAGTCAGTGACTCTGGTCCCCGCCGGGAGCCCTCTCTCTGTAAACATGGTTTTTCCTTTTTTGTTCGACCTGCTTCATGCCTGATGTTTTGTTTGCTGATAATCTTCCTAACTGATAAGCTGGACTGGAAACTCCAACAAACTCCTTAGAGAGAAAACCTTGCAAACTGGAAAACACCGAAGCTGTTTGGGGCAGAGGGAAACCTGAGAGTCCCCGCCCCCTGCTGGGAGCAGCGCCACCAGGGGCTTCTCTGCTTCCCTGGAGTTGATGTAAACACATAGAAGTTAATCCCATTGACATTTAGAAATCACAATGTCACCCTAAACATTTCTAGGTTTCCATTTAGACGTTCATTCAAAAATTGATTTTAATTTAGAAATTAATCTATGTCAACCAGCCTATAGTAGTCCAGGCTGTAATCTGGAGATAAGGACTGTGTGTCTTTTACATGTGTAGTTGGCAAACTTTACTGTGCATCTAAAGCACTTGAGAAGTTCTGGAAGTCACCGCTGCCCAACCCATAATCCCACTGGCCTGGGTGGAGCCCCGGGGTCGGGATTTGCACCCTGACCCCCGTGATCCCAGCGCCCCTGGGTCTTGGGTCGCGTTCTGTGACAGAGTGCTTGCACTGTTTTCCATTTGCAAGGAAGGGAGTTGTAGAGCTTGTGTTATGAAACAGTGTGGGGAAATTGGACAGCATTTTAGTCTAATCTTGCTTTTAAATAATACGGAAATTTTGAAAGTCTGCTTTAGCGAGCTCTAGGACCTGTCAATTAAAAAAAAAAAAAAGATCCCTGTATTAAAATGCAAGCCTGGTTGGTAAGTCCTTAAATGGGACCTAAATGAGCCTCACCGGGCAAGTCCATCCTGATTCCCTTTCCCTCATTTATTTAATGTTCAATTTGCTGCCAGCACTGCCGGAAAATCTGCCCTCTGTGATTTGTAAGGGCTCGTCTTGTTCCAATGCTCAGTTACGTGCCACACAGAAGCTCCTAGGGGGAAGGGAGCTACAGGGAGCTCCTTCCTCCCAGGTGCTCATCCTCAGGTGGCAGCCGCTGCCCTGAACACACCCACAAAGTGGGCGGAAGTGGGGCTGTCACTCAAACAAACCATACCAAGAAACATACCAACCCCGCCTCTCCGCTTGTTACAGGATCCAAACGCTGCTTTGAAGGCAACCCCCAGCTTCACACAGTGTCCTTTTTAGTTTGCTTCTTAAAAATAGGCCTGTTCCCTTAATGCAGTGCCCAGGGGCTATTGGCAGCTTTGTTTTTTACAGAACAATTGATTTTTCCATTGACTTCTGCTGCGCTCATTGTATTCCAACGGCCTCTTACAGTTGTGGCGTGGCACTGGGTCTTTTCTGTTGCTTCCTGGCGGGCCCTGTGTTCCTTCAAACCTCTGAAGATGGGAGTCCCGGCTCTCCCAGTGAGGCACTGGGGATTGGTTGCTTTAGTAAGTGGGTGTGGCCAGGAGCGCCCGTGGGCCATCTGCCGGATGCAGCCCGTGCATCCCAAGCAGAGCTGACTGCTTATTTAGGAAGCTGTGATTCACCTGCCTCCCCTCGGTGAGTGCCTAACCAGTAACCAGGTATCTTCAAGAAGCCCGAGCACCCAAGAATCCCTTCTCTTTTGCTATAGATTGCACAGTAGTTGGAGAGGGAGCAGACATCTGACAAACACAGAATTTCCTGGTTTAAATTGCAGCGAATTTGAACCCCAGACCTTCCACCAAGACAAGCAGATCTCCAAGGCCTGCTGCCCCGGCCCTCCCAACTGCTGGGATCCTGATGAGGGTTAACGTGTGGAAGGATCTGAAACCTGCCGGCTGGATTATTTTTTCCCTTCCCTTTGGAATTTCCTGCTCTGGGAACAAAACACGTTACACAGATTGGCTGGCTCCTGTGTGCTGGGTGAATGCTGGCGTGTGGAGGGGAATGCCCAGTCGGCCTTCCTTTGGTTTAGGAAAAAAAAAAAAAGAAAGAAAACCATTGTTAGTGGGAAAATGTCGGTCATTCTTGAAGTGAAGCCTGAGTCCTGACAGCCAGACTTAACAGTTGGAAGGTTATTAGAACTCTGTTTGCTTTCCTTAGCCTTGACTTTGATTTCCCAAATGTTTTGTTTCTCGGTTTTAATTTTTGGTTTGATTTGTTGTTCCAAGGCAGCTCACCAGAAGCATACTTTCATGGTTTTCCCTCCCTCTTTTCAGTTAGTAAGTAGCTTGCCGACTCGTTCACCCTTCCGAGCTCCCCAGAAGCACACTGCCCTCCACCGTGGAATGTGCACTGTGGTTGTTGAGTGTTGGGGATGCTGAGATGGTGTGGACGTCCCGCTGCCGCCTGCCTGCCCACTCCCGCCCGCTCCGCCTCCTGGGGCCCGGCTTTCCTGAGATTCCAATGCATTCTGCCACAGCTGGGGTTCCATTGCCGAGGAGGGAGGCAGTACTGGTCCAGGGAGGACTACAGCAAAGGCAGTGTACCGCCCACCCAAAGAGGGGAACTGAGGGGAGGGCTGCCACCCTCGGAAACTCTAGGCAGAGGGAACCCACTGCCTCTTGCCATCCCTATCCAGGGCAGCCATGACCAATGCACACAAGAGCAGTCGTAGCCATCAGTTTTCCTGGAACAAGCTAAGTAGGCCTCATAAAACTTAAAACTGCATCTGCCAAGATTTCAAGGAGACTGCACATTCCCTTGCAGGTAGGAGCCATGCTTTGCATGGTGGTTTGAAGCCATTGGTAAATTGTCACATTTCCCAAAGACTAGCTCTTGGACCGCCGATTCTTCTTGTCTGATATTTTGGGGCAGTAGTCGTCTCCCGCCTAGAGGTTCACAGTGCTCATAACACATTAGGGGCACCAAGAAGCCCTGAGATGGAAAGAATCCAAGACTCTGTTTGACCTAATGTTTCCAAGCTAATTCCATTGCTCCTCTCCCCACTCCACCATGACTGCGTTTTGGGAAATGCTGATAATGTACATGGGAATCCAGTGCACACTTGAACCATCTGAACCTTCTGCTTGTGGTCTCAAGAGCTGGTTCCCCTGCTCAGACTAGATGTGCCTTTATTTCTGGCTCAAAAACATCCCTTAATGGAAGAGATCTGTTCAGTATTAGCGTCTCACTCAGATTCTTCATAAAGAAAGATTTCACTGCCAAGTTCCTTTCACTGTCATCAAAAACACTTGCTTTTTGGAAAGATGGGCTCCTTGGAAATCTTCAAGCAGCCCTTGCTGGTTAAAGGGAGACCTGATAGGTTTATGTGAGGGACTTCAGTACTTTCCGAAGAAACAGCTGCATCACTCTGAAAGGCCAGGACCCGGAGCCCAGGGCCAGTCCTGGAGGGGCCCAGGCACCTCCTTTAAACTCCTGGGACTTTAGTTCCCGTGTCTGTCAAATTGCAGGTTTGACTACAGTTCCGTGAACACACACCTGCAGGAACTGAGCCTGACCTTCGGCGCCATCAGGTGCCTTCTCCCTGAGTGGCAGCCAGGATGGAAAGCAGGGACGTTGGTGAGCAGGCCTTGAACCAGTCACTTATTTGAAAGGCAAAGCGACAGAGAGACAGGGAGAGACAGAAAGACATCTTCCATCTGTGGGTTCATCCCCAGCATGGCTAAAACAGTCAGGGCCGAGCCAGGCCAAAGACAGGAGCCTGGAACTCCATCCGGGTCCCCAACGTGGGTGGCAGGGGCCCAAGGACTTGGGCCATCTTCTGCTGCTTTCCCAGACCATAGCAGGGAGCTGGATCAGAAGTGGAGCAGCCAGAACTTGAACAGCTGCTCCGATATGGGATGTCAGCATCGCAGGCGGCAATTTCACCTCCTGCACCACAGTGCCAGCCCCAGTAGCCCCATTCTGGAGTGCTCCCACAGTTGTCATTTTAGAGAGAAATGTGTGTTGATGTTTTATTCTCCTCTGCAAGCACACGCTAAAACCAAGATTGCAACTAGGTTTTTGGCTCAGTTTTTCCCATCGCTGATTCTGGTAAAAGTGCTGCTCCCTTCGGCAATCAATCACCAGGAGAAGAGAATGAACAGATCAGTGAAAGACACACCTCTCAAGTGAGCGCAGATTTAGAGGCCAGTTCAAGACAGGGGTGTTTTTCTTTCCATGTGGTTAGCACTTTATTACTGACTGTATTTTCTAATGTCCAGGAAGTGACTAGTCAGGTAGCATATTTCACCCCCTGCTCCTGCTAAGTAGAATCAAGTGGTTTAAAAAAAAAAATCCATGTACATGTGAAAACATTACTCACCATGTTTGAGGGCTGGCAGTTTTTAAATTTCAGCCCTAATATATATAACCTTTTTAAACATAACCTTTTCTTGCTATTTCAATCCAATTTAAATTAATATAGTTCTCCTTAATTAGTTCTGTGGTGCCTTTGTTTAAATAAGATTGAATGGAATTATAGGAGATTGACAAGTCAACCATCAGTAGCACTCAGCCTCTCATGGATGTTGTGGCGTGTGTGTCTGGAATTAGAATTCCATCATCCCCGTGGCACGGCACTCAAAGCCTCGTGACCGTGTAGGGAGAGGAGGGTTTAGGTAGAGACGGAGCATCTGCCCCGTGTAGTCCTCCAGAAGGTACTATCTCCAGCTTCGACAGCTGGTGTCTCCCCCCACGCTTGTGCACGGCTTCCTCCCACGCTTCCGTGTGTGTGACCACCTGCCGGCAGCATGCGTGCTGGCCCCTGCATGGCTTCTGGGGACGACGTGGCTCCGTCCCTCCTGCCTCCATGGGATCCCTCCCTATAGCTTTCCCTGGGAACAGTTCTCCCCTCCATCCAGGAGATGACCCGTCCTGGGAGGTTTCAGCTGTGATGGGCATTCTGTTCAAGTCATTTGGGAGTGGGATCTCGTCCATTGCCCTGGGGAGTGTGTACTTAGAATTGTGAGTGAGAAGAACCCACAGCAGGAGACACCACTATCAGTGGGACTGGGTGGAAGGCAGCGGGGGCCAAGCCACCATCAGACACGCCACCGAGAGGGGCATGGGCGCTGTCACAGAAGTGGAAATATAGAAGGGAGACATGGGCTGGTGCAGTGTGAACACACACACACAACCAGCCTCTTCAGCAAGAGAACCACCTACAGCAAAGATGGGAGTGGTCCCAATTCCTAGGGAAGGGTCACCAAAATTCTTAATTTTTTTTAAGCACAGAGGAAATATGGCTAACTGAGCACTGAGATGAGAGTACTCTCCTATGCCTTCCTCTCCCTTCAAAGAAGAGACGACCGTTGCCCCTCTCCGGGCCCCCGCGCAGCACCGTCAGCCTGGTTCTTCCAGCGCAGGCAGCAGGTGTGCAGAGGGCGCTGGGCTGCCAGCTGCCTGCACTGCTGCACCACTCCATTCCCAAGCCCTGTGTTGAGACACAGAAATTCTTTTCCTGGTAAAAGTGAAATGTCTCGAGCCAGGCCCACCGGCAGAATGCTGAGTCATTGAGACCGCTGTTCAGTGCTCAGCGTCTTCAGGAGACGAGCGGCTGCTTTTCCCTTCTTCGTGTAACCAGAGGGCACGGCTTCTAAGAACTGGAAGCTGCATGCATGCTATTGGCAGGTGCCGTCTGGGGACTGAGGGCTACAGCAGAGTGGTTTCTGCATGCCCCGCCCAGGAGCGGCTCAGTGTCTTCAAAATCTGTGGCGAGGTCAGGTATCTGCTGCGGGGGCCTCAGGCAGAAAGCACGTGGGGGACTGAGATGGTACTTGGGGTGCGCGCATGTGTGCATCTGTCCCCCATGTGCGTGCACGGGAGGTGAGTTACTCCTCCAGGGCTGGGGAGCACAGAGCCTCCCAGAAGCCTGGGCAGCCACTGGAGCAATGTGTCTGCGGATTCTTTCCCCATCCCAGTTGTCCCTGGCTCCTGGCACACGGGATGTGCACCGAACCACTAGGTGGGCAGGGTTCATCTGAGATCTGGTTCCTCTTCTACAAGCCGTGAAGGCCCGAGGGGAGAGGCCGTTCCGTGCCACAGGACAGTAAGGGGCCGCCGGAGTAGGAGCGGAGCCTGTAGTCAAAGTACAGTTGAGCAAGCACAGCCAAGCCACTCCCTGACGGTGACGCTTTGCCGAACAGAACCATTCACTCTGCGATCCTGGTGAATGGTGAAATGTTGTTGCCCTGTCAGGGGCTGGGTGAAACTGACCACAGGTGCCTTTCTCCACATGTGGGAAAGCGTTTTTGGAAAGGCTTCGGCTGCAGAGGCACCAGTGTGCCGCTGGGGGCAGCTTTCGCTGCAGCCTTGGTTCTTGGTCCTCTGGGCCATGGAGAAAAGGCATTGCACCCAGGTCCCAGGGCCTCTGCAGCTCCCCCAGTCCTGCTCTGTCACCCACAGAGGTAGTCCAGAGAGAGCCAGGATCCCTCTGCTCCATGGCCTCATGTGCCCTTGGGCAGTTCAGCCACAGACTTGAGTTCATGCTCTTCCCTGCCTGCAGCGGCGCGGCTGGTGTGGCAGTGGCTTTTCCAAGGCACGGTGTCCTGTGCCGCATTTTCTCCCTGGGGGAGCACCGCCCGGCCCGCAGCCGTCAGCTACAGCAGGGATACGGCACCTCGAATGAGCCCACACCCTGTCCCTGCATCACCTGTTGAACCTGGTTGCTTGGAAGCTTATTTCTGCAGAGTCTTGGATTCCAAGTTGGGATGCGTCCTGGCGTCTTCCCTCTGATTGCTTTCTCGGGCCCCCGTTTGTCCATGCCCCCCTGCCGTCAGAAGTGTCCCTCATCCCCATGCCCTTTGCCTCGGCGAGAATGAAAAAGGCTCTGTAAAACTACAAGGGGTCTTCAGAAATGCCATGGAAAGTGAGGACTGGGAGAAAACCTTACGTGGATTTTCAATTTTTAAAAAACGATTTATTTTATTTATTTGAAAGCTAGAGTTACAGGGAGACAGCGGAAGAAGCAGGGATATCTTCCATCCACTGGTTCACTCCCCAAATGCCTGCGGTGGTCTGGGCTGAGCCAGGGAGCTTCATCAGGATCTCACACGTGGGTGGCAGGGACCCAACTGCTTGAGTTATCACCAGCTGCCTCCCAGCGAATGGACAAGCAGGAAGCTAGAACTGAGGGTGGAACGAGGACTCAAACCCTGCTATGGATGCAGACGTTCCAACAGGCAGCTTAACCGCTAGGCCACATGCCCACCTGTGTTACTTTTAAGTGAATAAATAACTAAATATTTTAAACATGTCTCAGTTTTAATATTGTGCATGTCAACATATATATAACCCACATAAACAATTTTTCGGAGTCCAGGGGATTCTGAGATGAAGAAATCTGAGACAGGGGCAGGTGTTGTGGTGCAGCAGGCTAAGCCGCCACTTGGGACGCAAGTGTCACGTATCAGAGGGCCAGTTTGAGCCCTGGCTACTTTGCTTCTGATTCAGCTCCCTGCTAACGCACCTGGGAGGGCAGCAGAGGATGGTCCGAGTGCTTGGATTCCAGCACCCATGTGGGAGACCCCAGTGGAGTTCCTGACTGCTCGTTTCCACGGTTGCAGGCGTGTGTGGAGAGGACCAATGGATGGAAGATTCTATCTATCTATCTATCTATCTATCACTCTGCCTTTTAAATAAAAGTTAATAAAATTTTTAAAAAGCACCCACCCAGATGCACTGTCCTTGACAACAGGGTCTTCCCGGGCTCTGCTCCCCAGATGACCGTTGGGCCCGGGAATAGTAGAAGAGTCCAGGCTGGCTGGGCTGGTTTTGTAGGCTTCTCTTGACCAGGTCTTAGTGACTGCAGTCCCTGTCCCTCCGGGGAAGTGGTTCTTAGTCTTGGCTGCACACCAGAGTCACATCAGGGAGTTAACAGACAGATGCCCAGCCCCACTCCTGGAGTTGGTGATTGACTTGGTCTGGGGTGGAGCTGTGACATCATGATTTTTTAAGATTTTTATTTATTTATTCGAGTGATAGAGTTATAGAGAGAGGTAGAGACAGAGAGAAAGATCTTCCATCCACTGGTTCACTCCCCAAAAGGCCACAATGACCGGAGCTGGGGCTATCTGAAGCCAGGAGCCATGAGCTTCATCCGGATCTCCCATGCAGGTGCAGGGGCCCAAGGACTTGGGGCATCTTCCACTGCTTTCCCAGGCCACAGCAGAGAGCTGGATCGGAAGAGGAGCAGCCAGGACACGAACCAGTGCCCATAAGGGATGCTGGCACTGCAGGTGGAGGCTTGGCCTACTGTACCCCAGTGCCAGCCCCAACGTCATGATTTTTTAAATGCCCAGGTGATTATGATGTGATGTCAAGGTTGAGAACCACTGTTCGGGTAGTCAGTGAGAAGGTGATGATTCTATTTATTTATTTATTTATTTTTTTGACAGGCAGAGTGGACAGTGAGAGAGAGAGACAGAGAGAAAGGTCTTCCTTTGCCGTTGGTTCACCCTCCAATGGCCGCCACGGCTGGCATACCGCGCTGATCCGAAGCCAGGAGCCAGGGGCTTCTCCTGGTCTCCCATGGGGTGCAGGGCCCAAGTACTTGGGCTATCCTCCACTGCACTCCCAGGCCACAGCAGAGAGCTGGCCTGGAAGAGGGGCAACCAGGACAGAATCCGGCGCCCCGACCGGGACTAGAACCCGGTGTGCCGGTGCCGCAAGGCGGAGGATTAGCCTAGTGAGCCGTGGCGCCGGCGGTGATGATTCTATTTAAGTAATCCTTGCAGCTAAAAACAAAAGCTCAGGAAAACTACATCAAGTCCTGTAACCAAAGTCAAAATGTCATTTTCCATAAAAAGGTTAAAAATAACATAAACCTAGAAATATCAGTGGCTGCTTAAACATTTTGCTGTTTCGTGTTTTGAAAACGAGTAATTGGACGCACGTGGCCTAAAGCAGAGTGGATTCTCAGCCGGACTTCAGGTTCCCCTCGTGCCGCCGGTTAGAATCCTTCCACTCTGCCTCAAGACCGCTCTTGTCTCACACATCCTCGCAGGCTGTGTCTGAATTACTGGGGAAGGTGGATTTCCACCTGCCAGACCCCCCTGAAGGATTTGAGGGTACTGAGGGGAAGGGCTGTTCCTGTCCTACGAGGCAGTCAGGACACAGTGGGGAGGACCGGCCCGTTGCTGCCAGTACGCTTCAGGTGAATTCGCAGTGCTGCACTCCCACCCCCACTGAAGTCACACTCATGCCCATCGTCTTTGCGTCACCCGCAGGATAAGCGCCAGGAGTTTCTGCACACTGGGCATTTCCCTTTGTGAACAGTCACCATTTTAAACTCCCCAGTTAGTTGATAGTTACCGCTCGCCATGCCAGAGCGTTCGTCTCCATGGCAAACTCAGGCGATCACAAGTATGAACAGTTTTGAGACCGAGAATCCTGCTGTCAGCTCCGAAGCCCCACGTCCAAGAGGGCAGTTTGAACGGGTGAGCAACATGCCCGTGTTTCAGGGGTGATCTCTGGTCCTCAGCCCGCTGCAAGGTCAACACGAAGAGATGCAGGCTTTGCCGCATGCACTGCACCTGCTCCCTGGACGGGCACATGTGCTCAGTCCCCTCCCTTAGCCTGTGAGGACAGCGGGTCTACGGAGAAGCCAGGCAGGTGCGTCTTCTGAGCTCCAAGTGTCTTTGGTAGAACTCCCCCCTCCCTGGTGGCCTGGTGTTAGCCCCAAGAATGGACTTCTGCTTAGCCCCAAGGCAAAAGCGTGTTCTCCCTGCAGTTTGTAACTCGTGTTCCTGATCCTGGGGTGTGACAAGCTGCACCCAGGGAGGGGGCAGTCGCCGGGCTTGTCTTGGCCACGGCCAGTCCCTCTTCTCCACATACAACCCCAGGAGGCACACGTGACCCTCCCTGCTGTGGAGCGTCTAGGCAGGGGTGCTTTGCAAGGTCCCTTTTGTTAGCCCTTGTCTCACAGCTGTGTCTGTAGCTCTCCCCCTGCTGGCCCCCGACACGCGCACGGTGCCAGACTGAGCTCCTGGAGGGAGCACGTCGCCTAGCATGTGCTCTGTGTGTTGACTAGATTAGCTACAACAGCAGGATGGAAACCCAGGTTCCAGGCAGGAATGGTCGTCCACATCTCTTACGGACACGAAATCTCAGGAACGTGCCGGGGCAGGGGTGCGTGTGTACGTGTGCACCTGTGTCTGTGTGTGGGAGGAGGTGGTTTCGTGGTTGGCTGGGTGACCGTTTCCCTCCTGATTCTGTCTTCTCCAAAACCTCCCACAGGCTCTGTCCACGCCACGTCAGTAGCAGCCTCCAGGGTGGAGCAGGCTCTGTCAGAAGTGGCCTCGTCTCTGCAGAGCAGCGCCCCCAAGCAGGGCCCACTACACCCCTGGATGACACTGGCACAGATCTGGCTCCACGCAGGTACCACCCCACCCCACCCTGCCCGTGGGCCCCTCGACCCCCACTGCCGGGCCTGGGGCTGCAGGACCCTCTAACCCAGGACCCCTGCTGCCTCGGCAGCCACGCACCCCGCTGGGAGGCTCTCCGTGCTGGGACCGTGAATTGCTGGGCAGCTGCCTGGCCCTCCCCTGCCTCAGCGTCCTGACCCAGAGCCTAGCACACAGTGGCATCCGGGGAGGAGGTTCCAGTGGGGGTTGGGGGTGGGGCTGGTGAGGGTACATGGTTGAGGGGCTAGCGGGCTACGCCCCAGACTGGCTGCCACTAGCCAGCGGCACAGACCAGAGTTCTGGAGTTCCCTGTCTACCTCTGAGTTTCCATTTCTTATCTGTACCGTGGGGTTGAGGATAGCCCCTGTCTCCAAGGGTTGACGTATCTGTACAGTGGGGTTGAGGATAGCCCCTGTCTCCAAGGGTTGACGGGCACTGGGCCTGGCGCATCTTGCCAGGAAGTCTTAGAGTCTCTCGGAGACACATGGGCCCCACTCACTGTTCTGGTTGCACTCCTCGTCATCCACAGAGGGGAGGCAGGTAGAAGCAGCTGCTGACCTGGGCATCAGCCCAGGGCAGGGGGTGGGCACGCTTCCCCTGCCCCAGTCACACGTGGACGTCCACTCATTTATGCCCCAGGGCTTTTGTGTAGCTGGGGATCCCAGCATGCATTATCCGGGCAGTGCGTACCTCTCCGTACAGAGCCTCCTGGCCAAATAATGGCTGTTGATTCACGGACATACTTAGATCTCTCCATAAAAGGTGGCTTCTCTTCCTCCCATTCTGTGCCTTGGTCTGCACAGCCCCGGCTGGGCCTCCTGGGCCTGGACTCTCAGGGTGTGGGGAAAGCCCAGATTTGGCTGAGAGCAGCGCTCATTATGCCCTGGTAGCCCATCTGTGTGCTCCATGCTTGCCAAGGCTGACCGCGTGATGTCCAGCCTTGCTGCACACGACAGAGGACCTTCATGTAGGAAAACACGATAGGATTTGCCCGGCTTGGGCATGGAACAAAGCCACAGCCAGTCAGCCTTTCCTGTCATCCTTACCTGAGCCCTGACAGCTACCGTAATTTCTGAAAAGGAGAGCTGGGCCGTGAGCGTGCGATTGTTCCTCCCTGCTGCAGACTGCACTGGGCCTCTGGCAAAGAGAGGTCCCAGACAGGCTGCCTCCAGGCCAGGGGGCCGCGGGCATGCCTGTCCGCAGCTCAGGCTTCTGGCCCTGTCCTGCACAGTCACCTCCACGGACCGCAGCTCAGAGAGCAGAAAGGAAGGGAACCCAGCTTCGCGAGTGGCCCCCGTGAGCCTGGCTGGGCCGGCAGGGCCGGTGTAGGGAGCACGGTTGTCTCTCAGATCCGGCTGCAAGATGAGTTTTTGAAAAGGCTGAAGTCTAAAACCCCGGAGGGCTGGGGTCCTCCTTCTAGCTCCCTGACCTGACGTCGGTGCTTCTCAGAAAGCACGTGGCCTGATGGCCCCCAGGCCCTGGAGAGCTCCCTGGAGAGCGTTCCTCCCCACCATGGCCCTTGGGGAAGAAATCCTGTAGCTGCTTTTGGAACACTGAAGAACTCCGTGGCTGAAACTGTTAGGAGCAATCCTTGGATTTTTCTATAATCACATAAGACCCATCTCTCATGACCTTGGCCTCTGGGTCAGAAAAGTCTTCATTTGCCAGTTAAGGCAAACAGGCTACAGTGCCTGTACCATTCTACAGGCTGCTGGCATTCAGGTGTGGGAAGCGGCTTTCCGCGTGGGCCCTGGGTAAAATGCGCCTGGTGTGTGCAGTTGACGTGTGGCATGAATGAATGGAGTCGGCCAGAATCTTCTCTTGGAGGGATGACTTTGTCTGAGTCAAGACCTTTTCTTTGAAAGGTAATTTCAGGAGAAAACAGCTTCCACGGACTCACAAGTTTTACCACATGTGGTTTGAGCTCATCTGCTCTGAGAGGCGAAAGAGAGGTGACTGCACCTTTTGATGAGTCATGGAAACCAGATAACTGGTGCCCTGTGTCCACCATTGGCGCCAGCAGCGCTTCCAGATTCCCTGGACTTTGCAAAGCTGTAGGAGAAGTTAGTGGGATCGAGGCCTCACGCCCCCAGGCCCTGGGTTCCGGTGGCCCTGTGGATCCCCTTTCTCTTGGTGCTTTTTTCTGGGGCTCTGAGTGTTGAGGGAGCTCACGGTGGGGCCACATAGTGGAGAGGGCCCCAGATTGGAGCCTTGCAGGGGCGCTGTCTCTAAGACAACCTCACATTTCCAGCCGGTTGTATCCAAGGGTCTCTGGGCCGCTTGTGCAAGCACGTGAAAGACAAGGAGATCATAAGCAGACCGCCTGAGGCTCCGCTGCTGTGAGGGGCAGGCCGGGGCCCAGCTGGGAGCACGGACCATGGAAGGACAGCTGTGAGCACCTCCTCTTCTGTCCTGACACCCCTGGCCCCAGAGCTGCAGAGTCTTTCATCAGGACCCACTCGGGGTGTCCATGTTGGTCCTTTGGTTTGTCTGGACCTATGTCACAAGTTGTTTTCAAGTGACACAGGCACGTGGCACACCAAGAGGTAGGACTGACATAAAGCGAAGAGGCTCCATCCACCCCTGAGCTTCATCACCCTCCCAGCAGACACCTCTGCCAACCGTGCTGTGCGCCTTCCAGTCCTACTTCCCTGTGCCTTGTCCCCACCAGCCATCCCTGGAGCCTCAGGGTTGCTCACACGTCCACACCTGGAAGGCTGTGGAGTGTAAGCGGGCCGTGTGTCATATCCAGCCCCCAGCGGACAGGCCGTGTGTCATATCCAGCCCCCCGCGGACCCGTGTCCAGCTCGTCTCTAGTGTTTTGCCACTGCAGACCTGGCTTCGGGAAGTCCCCCTGGATGTGTAAGGCAGACTCCACGGGTCAGAGGCTGTGCACTCCTTAGCTGTGGTGAACTTTGTCGCGTTACCTTCCTCGGAGTTGTGCCTGTTCACACTCCAGTCAACAAGGCGCGCCTGTCCATATCTCACATTCTTGCCACACCAGGAATGATCACATCCTAGCGCTGTGCGGCCCCACATGTAGAAGCCGGTGTTTCCATTGTCCATGCCTGGCTTTCATCCAGTTGTCTTCTTAGATACCGAGCTTCTCTTTTTCCATTCGTAAGCATTTATTAGTGTCCATAGGAATTTGCCTTGAGCCTATGATAAGCGCTGTAAATATTTCCCCCAGTTTTGTTTTGTCTTTTTTTATGCTCACTTTCCTGAAAGTTTGAAATATCTCCGGTGCCATTTGTATGTGCATTCTTTTTTTAAAAAAAAATAAGATGTATTTGTTTATTTGAAAGGGAGAGCCATAGAGAGAGAGAGAGAGAGAGAGAGAGAAATCTTCCATCTGCTGGTTCACTCCCCAAATGGCCTGAACAGCCAGGGCTGGGCCAGGCTGAAGCCAGGAGCCCAGAACTCCATCTGGGTCTCCCACATGGGTGGCCAGGGTCCAAGTCCTAGGGCCTTCCAGGCACATTAGCAGGGGAGCTGGATGAGAATTAGAGCAGCCAGAATGCGAACCCGCACCAGTGTGGGATGCCGTTGTCACAGGTGGCGGCTGCACTCTCTCATAATGGAAGTCTGGGGAGGCTTTTCCCCCACTGCGCAGTAGGGACCCAGGCTGGCAGAAGTGGGTGCCTTTGCAGTCTCTCTGGGGCAGAAGTGAGGGGAGCTCCGTTAGAACATCTGATGTCACAGCTCTGAGACACCCACAGGTGCCCTGGGGAACGCAGGCCCTCCTGCCGGCCATGCAAACCCACCGTCACAGCAGCTCAGAGCCGAGCCAGAGCCTTCCCGGTGCCCGTCTTTCCACCTCCACATTGGGATGGCAGCTAAAAATGACTTTGCGGGAGGTGGCTAACTCCTGCCTGTCACTTGCTAATAGTTACAGCGTTGGCTTTGGCACCTCTCTCAGTTGAAACCAGCAGCTATTCTTAGATGTGCAAGATCAACTTTTCTGATTCCTGCTGGGGATGTAAAGCTATGATACTGTCACAGTCCCTTGCCCCTGGCACAGCCTGTGCCCTCCTCCCGCCCCTCCCGGGCCCCACCCCAGCACTGGGAGGTGGCATCAGCAGCAGGGTGGTGGGCGAATCCTGTGACCTGACCACCGTGCAGAGAGACAGCTCCCAGGAGTGCTTGGAGCAGGAGCAGGCTGTCCCAGGGCCAGGCCTGCCCAGAGGTGGGGCCAGTCTGGATGAGTCCACTCTGCCACACCTGCCCATTCTCCTTCCCTGGAGAGTTCTGATGAATGGTTAAACTTGCAGGTCGCTGTGTGTGTCACATGTTATTCCAAGGATTTTGTGTGTCTGACCATGTGTAGTCCTTATAACCTTATGAGGTTTATTTATTAATTTTTTTTGAAAGACAGATCTTTTATCCATTGGTTCACTCCCCAAATGCCCACAACAGCCAGGACTGGACCAGGAACTCAATACAGGTCTCCCATGTGTGTGACAGGGACCCAAGTACTTGAGCTTCCACCTGCTGCCCCACCCCCACCCCACCCTGCCAGAGTGTGCATTACAAGAAGCTGGAATCAGGAGCAAAACCAGGACTCAAAGCCTGCCGCTCCGCTGTGACATCCCCGAACATCTACCCCTCAGGTTTAAATAACCTTATTCACCCCTTTTTGCAGATGAGAAGCTGAGACTCTTATCTAGGGTAACATGACTAAGAGGCTGGGAAGCCAAGATTCAGACCCAGCTGGTGTGGCCCCAGCAGGCACTTAGTGGGGCTGCACTCCGCCCGTGGGCACCTCCCACACGCTGGCATCCAGCTGGGCAGACTCCCGCCCCCCTGGGGTTCACAGGAGCTGACTGGTCCCCTCCCAGGGAGCCACTGAGAACTGAAAGCCTCCCCCAGGCACATGAGAACAGAGGCCTGAACAGAGGTCAGCTCTTGACGGGAGGCACAGAGGAAGGCCTCGCGGCCGCGCGAGCACTGAGAAGTGGCAGGGACCCTGCGCTG